GTGAGGACACAGCTTGTGGACCATGACGTGGGCTCTCCCCGGGGACCACACCTGCCAGCGCCATGATCCTGGGCTTCCCAGGCTCCGGGACTGTGAGAAATAAACGTCCGCTGTTTTATCAGTCACCCAGTCTCCGTTACTCCGTTACAGCGGCCAGAACCGACTGAGAAAAGCTCACACCTATGTGGTCCGTCGATTTTCAGTGGAGGTACCAAGGGAGTTCAAAGGAGAAAGGAAAGTCTTTTTGTTAAATGCTGCTAAGCAACTGCATAACCATATGGAAAAAAACGAACCTTGACCCACACCTCACACAAAAATCAACTCAATATGGATCACAGACCTAAATCTAAAAGCTAAACATGCAAAGCTTCTAGCAGAAAACATAAGAGAATAATTTTAGAACCTTAGGATAGAAGTAGGCAAAGATTTCTTAGAATAGGAAATGTACTAACTTTTTTGGTCAATATCACTAAAACAAATGATAAATTGATCAAAAATTTTAAACTTTTCATCAAAGGACGGTGTTAAGAGTATGAAATGCCAAGACACAGACTGGAAGACAATATTGCTATACACATAACTGACAAAGGAGTTGTATCAAGAACATAGAGAACCCCTACAAATCAACAATATAACAATGCCGCCCCACCCCCGCAAAAAAAATAGGAGACTTCAAAGAAGAAACTACTTTGGAAGTCTCTTATGAAGTAGGATGTACATATATGCTATGGTACAGTAAATCTACATCTATGTATTTACCCGAGATAAATAAAAATTTATCTCTACACAAAGACTTGTGCATGAACATTCTTATGAGTTTTATTCATAGTAACAAAAAACTAGAAACAACTCAAGTGTATAACTAGAAGAACATAAACAAATTTTGGTATATTCATACACTGGAATGCTACCAATTAATAAAATTGAAAAGAATGATTGATCCAAGTATTACCAGAAAATGCACAAATCTCAAAATTACTGCAGCTTTACCAGAGACAAAAGAGAATACATTGGTTGGTATGAGCAAGATGACACAGGAAACCCCAGGCCCGCATGTCTGCACGCAAACACCGAGCACTCTAGAAACCAGGTAAGGGTCGCAGTGACCAGACGAACGCACAGCCGAGAAAAGCTTGCACGCGAAATGTTCCAAGCAAACTTCACACCCACTCCCTCCCTCGTGTGCACCAGTTAGGAGGGAGCCACTCGGTTGCCGGTTCCTCCTTTAGGGTGGAAGGAAAAAAGTGGAAGTTGTTTCCAGCGTTCTGACTTGTCTGGGGGATTTCGGGGGCCTGGTTTTTGCCTGACTCAGAGTGGACAGGAATGAGGCATAAGTCCGGGCATCAAGCTGGAGTCTGATGAGGCTGATGAGCGCGGTGCGGGGTGCTGAGTGTGGCGGAGCCGCTGGGGGTGTCAGAGCTCTGGGCACCTGGGGACAAGAGATTATGGATCGAGGAACACAACAGAACACCGAAGGCCGTGGGGAGAAGCAGGGTGAGACTCAGGGAAATAGACTTTTTAAAAGGCAGCTGTATTATTCACGGTGACCAGAACATGGAAGCAATCGAAGTGTCCTACGATAAAAGAATGGATAAAGCTGTGGGACATATATACAATGGAATATTACTCAGCCATAAGAGATGAAATACTGCCACTCGTGACAACATGGATGGACCTCAGACCAGACAGAAAAAGTTGAAAACCACCTATCACTTATATGTGGGATATAAACCCAAAAGCAACAAATGAACAGGACAAACAAACAGAGCCTCATGGACACGGACAATAGACTAGTGGTTACCAGAGGGCAGGGAGGGAGGGGAGAGGAAGGAGGTAAACGAGGTAAAAGGGATCAGATATGTGGTGACAGAAAGAAATCTAACTATGGGTGGTGAAAACACAATGCAAAATATATACATATATATGCCTTACTATTAAATTGTACACCTGAAAGTCACTAGATTTCGTTAATCAATGTCACCATAAAAAATAAATTTTCATTATTAAAAAAAGAAAACTAAAAGGTAGCTGTGTAAACTGGGGAATCGGAACACACACACACACACACACACACACACACACACACGAAACTGGGGAATCGGAACACACACACACACACACACACACGAAACACAGTACCAAAAAGCCCTGATAAGCCCTGAAGCCTTCATGCCGCGCTGGTGGGCGAAGGTGCTCCCCGCATGGAACTCATCTGCAAAGACTGGGAGAGGAACCTTTTTTCCAAATGACCAGTTTTCAACAGGAGATCACAAGGCACACAAAGCAGCAGAGAAATATGACCCATGCAAAGGAACTAAGTAAATCTCCAGAAACTTGACGTAAAGAAACACAGGCTTCCAACTTACTTGAAAAAGACTTTAAAACAACTGTCTTAAATATGCTCAGTGAGCTGAATCAGAACACACGCAGAGAACTAAAGGAAATCAGGAAACAGACTATAAACATATTTTGATACGCTGACATATAAAGAAAATCAGAATGTCAACAAAAAGACAGAAATTACAGAGATTCAATTATAGATCAAGCATGTTGGGAGCTTGAAAGCTGTCACTGTGCTACCAAGCAAAATAACAAAGGAACTGAAAACCAACAACTTTTTAGTTCCATTAGAGAAGTGAGGTCACAGGGCAAACTGCTGACACACAAACTAGAGAGACAGGCAGGCGACAGAGAACCCACAAACGGAAACCTCTCCTGGAGCCAACGCCAGGGTAGGAAAACCTGTGGAGAGACCCGGTCTTGGACAGGTGTACACATGGTCTCATGAGTTTTACGTCCACGAGCCTTACCGGGTTCACAGTGAAGGTCAGAGACAAGTCCCCTTGTGCTCCCAGCATGGGGAGGGAGCAAGGAACCGTTTGGAAATAAGCCAGAGCCCGTCCTCAAGAGAACTCTTCAACAAGGCCGATTCTCCCGCGGTTTTAGCACAGCGTGACCGACCAGAGTGAAGGGGAACACTCGATGCCAGCCCCCGCTGGCCATCCCGTCCCACTGCAAGGAGGGGAAAAAACTGAGACACGCCTGTGAAGTGCACAGCCCAGGGCACAGGCCACTGAAAGACAGAACGCATCATATTCCTTGCCAGCAACGAGGCACCAGGGTGTGTGGACTTGCACACACATCTCTCAGATGTCGGGAGGACACATCCCTCACCCGAGCAAGGCCTGAGCAATAACAGAGGCGAGCTTGCAGATCAACTCCTTGTCCTCATGACACAGATGTCTTCTGGAAGACATCAGACAGAGCGGGCACGCTTCGTGTCCCTGTGCCCTGCCACGCCCGGGGCTCTCCTCCACCCTGGACTCCTCCCGCGGCCTCCTGTGACTGGCGCTGCCCTTCACTGGAAGGTGGAAGCACACACACCTTCGCAGTCTCACGAATTCTGACTTTCCCAGCACTCCAGTCAAAACAGCACTGTCTTATCACCCTAAAAAGTTTCTTCCCCTCAGCCCCAGGCCTGCAAACTGCTTATCTGTTCTCTGCCCTATGGTTTTTTTGTTTCCAGAACATCATACAAAAGAAATCATACATCACGCAGCCATCTGAGGAAGGATTCTTCCACCTAACAGTTTCTGAGGTTCATCCAGGTTAAAGTTCATGTCTTCTCACTGCTGAGCAGTATTTCGTCGCATCAATTGGTCGCATTATTTATTCAGTGGCTGACGGACGTGAGCATGGTTCCCGGTTTTGGCACCATGAAGAGAGTCCCCGTACACATCTGCGTTCTGGTCTCTGTGTGAATGCACTCTCCATTTCTCTCGGGTAAATAACTAGGACTGGGTCTACTAGGTCATGATAAGTTTAGTTTAATGTTACAGAAAATGAAAAAACTCTCTTCTGAGGTGGCCATACCGTTCAGCATTCCCACCAGCAGTGTATGAATGTTTCAATTGCTCCACATCCTCGTCAGGACTCGCTATTGTCAGGCTTTGTTTTGTTTGCCATTAACGGGTATACAACGGCATGTACTGCTGTCGCTTTACAGGAAGTCTTGAGGTGAGGAAAGTTAAGTCCTCTAACCTTTCTGTCCTTCAAAATGGCGTTAGTTATTCTACGTCCTTTGCACATTCACATAAATTTTAGAATCAGCCTGACATCTTATCCTGTTGAATCTTCTCATTTCAAATCTCCATTTTTTAAAATGAAAATATTTCCTTCCTAAATATACTATAAATAAACTTACCTTCTATCGCAGATTTAGAAACACTGATAATTCGATTTACAAAGGAGCCACGTTTCGGAGTGTCTGACGTGATGAATTTTTGTTTCGTGTGAAGAACTGCAAGCCAGGACAGCCAGGCCGGCACTGTGTAAAACCCGACTCCTGCACCAAACTGCTTCAGTGGAGCAGACGGCCGCCAGTCCCACATGCCTGGACGCACAGGGGCAGATCACAAAGAGCCCGCACCTCTCTCTCAGTGGGCAGGCTACGCGGCGGTATTTCCTGCCATCTGAACAGCTGTGCACCCTGGGCATGTGGAGGCCTCCTCAGTGAATTTCTCCAAAGCCGCAGAGGGGGTGGGCACCTGGGAGGGGCTGGCGTAGACACTGCCGTCAGCCTGCAAAACGTGCTCATGCTGCAGGGCGACCAAGACTGTAGACGGGGCAAGGCGCCCCGTGTTGGGCTCTGAGGCCATTTGGAGTTGAGTGGTTGTTAGTGAAAAATAGGTAGTGACTACAGTGCAGAGTCATAAATACTAGAGAAATGCAAAAAGTATACCAAAAAATGCAGAAAAATGGAGTGGTGAGTGTAATTTTAGCTGACAAAAATTGCTCTGAAATGCCAAATGACAGTAGGTACCTACAGCTAGCCCTACATAAAGTTGGCTTTTACATTCATCGATGCTGGTTGAAGCTACTTTCATTTTGGAACTTCCCAAGCACATTAAAATACATTTTTCAGATGTCTACGCCTAAGACAACCTTCAGGGAAGATAGCATGTAAAACTCTTCCGTGACTGAGTAAAAGGAGAAAGAAAAAATTTTAAGTGCTGTAATTTATTTTTAATATTAACAATTACATGTTCAAAAATGATATAATTCACATCTGAAGGTATCAATACCATAAATCTATAACTTGCAGGAGGAAATTTAAGTATAAACAGCTTATATACACTTTTCATTATTGACAGAATTTTAGACACATAACCCTACACTATCCAATAAGCTTCAGAGAAAACAGCTACACATCCACATGTCAAGACGACAGACAAGTTTTAAAAATGAACCTCAATAAAACAATTCTTACTTCTCGGTTACATGGAGTGGAGATGTATATACATGAAGACTGAGTCTGAGGTAGTTAACTTTGTTCCATGCCGGCCATGAGTGACAGGGCTAGAGATTCCACTGTGGGAGGAACAAAAATAAGTTAAAAAATAGGAAAATGTCTGAATAAGGCTTTGAAAAATTGAAAACTAAAACGTATTTCAACACATTTTTTATTTTTAATTAAAATACTGATTCTTTTTAATGTATAATGAAAATGATAATCTCCACTTATTAAATACGAATTGAAAAAGTATGAGTTATTTCTACTTCGGGTCGTTTTAATTTTGAGAACAAGAAAACCTGGACATTTCAGTGAACAAATCACATTTGTTCCACATGTCGTAAGACCTGGAGCCCATTCATGACAAAATGCCACATTCTGACCTGCCAGTGGAACCGACTTGCGTGTAACAGTCGCCCATTCAAAGGCAGATCAATGTGTCAGTGTTTTCCCCAACACAGTGTTTCCTGAAGGGTCAGCTATTCTTAACAAGCACATCGCAGTGTGAAGATGCAGAAACGGGAAGAGGATAACCCTGCACGCTTGTCCCAAAGAGGCTGCAGAGACACTCCCTCGTCCTCGTTGCTGCTGCTTCAAGCTCTCTTCTGCCCTGGACTCACCGCACAGACTTCTGCCTGCTCCACAGTGTGTGTCAGGAAGCCTTGGGAGTTTTCAAACCTCTTTAAAACATCCCTTATCATTTGAAAAGGAATAGTTACACATGATACTGAAGCGTGACAAATCTATTCCGCCATCCGCTTTATTTAATAATAAATAAAGCGGAAACCCACGGGTACAATCAATGAGATACTGGAAGGCAAGGTCTTTAGTCTCAGGGTTTCACATTTGATAGTCGCTTGCCCCACGGGAATTCTGCAGACTCAATTCAAAGCATGGCACAACAGCTGAGGGACTTTCCCGGTTAGAAGTGGTGAATATTCTAGTTCTTCATGAGATCAATAACGAAACAGTAACATGTAGCCTTGGTTCAAGAAAGTATAAAAGCAGCCATATTTTAACACGGAGTACTCACAGTGGGGAAAGGACCCTCTACAGACGGCTTTGTTTAAAATGGTCACAAGAAACATATGGCAGTTTTTAAAATCAGACTCCATTTTCTCGATAGACTCCATTCTAAGAAAGAAAGTAAATTGCAATTTAAGTAAGTGCACGAGGGGTTAATCGGCAGGCTACAAAATATCTTTGGAGTAATTTCAAATGTATCTCAGTTTAATTATATAGAATCTTACTTATAAAGATTATAACATAAAATATAAAATTTCCTGCCCGACATTAAGTGAAAATTCTGAAGCTATCTGAAGGCGTGTCCTTATGACACACCACCGCTGTTTCAGGGCAGTGCTGAGTTCTGGAGCTGGGTGGCTGGGGTTACTTCCTTTTGCATCATTCGGTTGCGTTTTTTACTTTCCGCAAGCATATCTTCCTATTAAAATAAATAGCACATACAACCCTAAATTTTAAAATGACCTAAAAACCTTCTATTACGTGAAATATGAAGGCGAGAACTACCCAGCGGACTCCCACGCACCCCCCACATCCCGTCGCGTTTGTAGAAGCAAGTCTGACATCACAGCATTTCAGTTATAAATGCTTCCGCGTGGATACATTAAAGACTCCTTTTAAAACACAGCCACACCACCATCTGCTTAAATGCGATCATTTTTAGTATCATCAAATAACCCAGGCAGTGTTCAAATTTCACCTGGCTTTTCCAATTTTTCACTTTTCTGCTTTAAGTTTGAATCAAGATCAATTAATTTCCAAAAACGGTGATACTTAATATGCTTCTAAGTCCTCACTCCCTCCTTTTTTCTTAGTCAACTTGCTGAAGTGAAACAGTTCAATGTTAGCAAAGCATTTGCAGTAGGATTACTGCTTTCTCCTCCGCCCCACAGTGACAAAGAGAAATATGGCTTACACACTATGAGACAGCAGTAATAAAGCGAGTCAGAATTCTGTTTTCATCCCTGCAATTACGAATTTTGCCTTACCATCTTAGTTTATGCCTTCAGAAAATTCTGGTACAGCCACAAGTTAAGATTTAAAATGAGATTCGCTCTGTAATGAGCTCTCATCTTGACAACTAAGTGGCAAGCTATCGTCACAGGAGCCGCAGCAGCCCGTGCAACCAGACTTGCTCTTTTATGTCAGGGGAATGCTAACGGCAGCGTCACATGGGGCAGCGCCAGGGGCTGGGGGTTCACTGTGTAAGGTGCCTAAATGTCTAACCGAAATGCTGCACACCTGAAACTAACATAACGTTGAATTTGAACTGTAATAGAAAAAAAAAGTAATACCAGCATTACATTAGTTCTATAAATGAGAGAGAAATGAACAAACTGCTGAGCTGTACGTCCCTGTTAGCAGCAGAGGACGAGACTATCGACAGGTAGGAAGGCTGTCCTCTGACTTTCGACAGGACAGGTGTGAATAATACACTCTGAAAGTCAAATGTACAATTATCCTTCTAGAGCTCATCTAAAATACAGCCTTGGACTATAATCCAGCCTGATGCCCACAATCTGCTTTCCAATAATTCAGCAAGTGCGAAGGGGACTGGGCAAGAAACACAAGGTCAAACTGGTCACTGCCAGGGACCGCTGGACTGGAGTGACGGGCATCTGAGGTTGCTATGTGATCTTCTCTCTATTTCTGTGTATAATCTAAGGCACCACAACAAAAATTTAACATAACTTCTAAAACAAAACAGGAATGTAACCTAAGGATATCTGCTTGTCCTAGTTAAAAGACTTCAGAATTTTCTTATCGTTTTACTGCTCATAAAAGAAAGAACTGGACAATTCCCGATACAGCTAGTTTAGGTAACCAGGTTCTTCGGTTCTTTCCTTAAATCTAAGTGGTAAGTGATGTGTTACCAAGATGAAAAAAAGGCTCCCAGAGAGAAGACAGTTGAAAGGGAGGATGAACGGCTCACGGCACAGAGGCTGCACAAGCCACATACTCACTGCCAAGCCCCCAGGCCCGCCTGCCAGCCGTCCGCAAATAACAGCGCCAGGTTCAACACCTTCATGATGGCTTCCTTCACAAAGCTGACCTGCAGATCAAAGCCACAGACAGAACACGGGCTCTGTAACTGTGTTTGCACACTGCCACCAAACCTTTTACCTGACTTAAATGAGTCACAGAAAAAGCTCATCAGTGCAGTGATGGCCTTCTACGTCTAAAAGAAGGCGCTGGGCTCTGAACAAAGTACGCTTGGAACTGGGCCACACCTGCTGCACCCGTGGCACAGGTGGTGTTAGTACAGTCCAAGCAGCAGAGCAGGCTGCCGTTTCCTGGACGGCCACTTAAATTCAGCAGTGAAATAGGCGAGTACTGTCCCACACAGTCACACAGAGGGGGGCGCCCTTCCCGACTGGAGCCCTAGTACCCCACGACGACAGGTACAATTCTCGGCTTGAACCCAAGAGCAGTGCAGAGTGAGGGCAGGCTGGCAACACAGTTTTCATCTGCTTTTCTTATATATAATTTCCGATAATATGGCATAAATTTGTAACCTCATTTGATCTGGTGTTTCCCTAAAGAATATTCTACAGACTTTTATAAAATTCCAAAGCAGGTAGACCGCCTCCTTTGGCCAGCTTCATTCCTGCCTCAATGGCCGAGTCTGCAGGTGACATCTCATGTACCTTTTCTCTCAGCAGACATCGATCATGGATGGTTGACAAGTATCTGTAGTGAATTTTAATCAATTGATCTAAATCCTTGGCTTCCTCGATTTGATGTTGAAACTCCAGCCCTGTACTGTGAAGAATCTTGGAAGAAAAAGATGAAAAGTGCAATCAGATTTCTTCTTCGAGAACCTGTGTGCCACACAGATTTTTTAGCTACCTCTTCTAGCCCCTCTCCAAGTCTTCCTTCAAAAACTACATCTGCAAAGTTTATCAAGTTCTGCTCATTAAATGCCGACATTCTTAGCCTAGAATGATGGCAGGGCCCTGTCTGCCAGGATACCCACTTGCAGTGAATGAATGCCTCCCTCGGGACTGACGGACCGTTCCGGGGTCAGGGTACGAGGTACGGGGAACCGTTTATCAAACCATATACAAAATGTACTGATTTTTTTTTTTAATCAGCAGGTAAATTGACGTGTTTTATAAGTTCTGTAGGCATAAATGTACTCCAAATAGAAAACAAATTCAGCGCCAACTTGACACTCCTGCCACTTACGCCCAGCAACCGAGGGCCCCGGGCCAGCCTCCGAGGGTTTCCGTGGTTGCACAGAAAGCGCGTCGGCCACGGGCACCGGGCCTGAACACGGGCTGAGAGGCCCCACTTCACGCAAACGGCATAAGTTTTAGAACTCACGTGCTATTGACTAGATACTTTTTTAACAACCATTTGAAACCCCAGATGAGCACTGTCCTCCAGTAACACTGCTGCTGTGCAAACAGCTGAAGTCTTCCGGAACCTCCCGAAGAGCTGGTTTTAAGACATTTCTGAAGTTTACTTGGTAACGAGCTACTTCTTGTTTTTTAAAAAAGCATAACATCTGGCTGCGTCTTCCTCACGCTCCACACTAGCCTGACTCTGGCTGTTACTGGGAACAGCTGCTACTACTGACTAAGTTTCAGGGACGACAAGGCAGGTTCTGCAGGCAATTCCGAAGGAGCACTGCCGGCTGCACCTGTCCCCAGGGGCTGCTGACAAGAAGGGCAGCAGACTCCAGACACGTGCTCTGGCACGCTTAAAACACCCCCCACTGCCATGTGGTGTCATGATCAGATTTTGAATATGTGCTCTTTTCACATGCACAGCGTGCGAGCATGTTGTGAGCTTCTTTGTGTCTGTGACCACGCTGCAGGGGATTCTCCATGAAGACCTGTGCCAGAGGCGACGGGGCCGAGGCACCCAGACGGACACGTACCCTGGTCATGATGTAGTTGTGCAAGCTGTTCACGAAGTGCATGAGCTTCACTCTCAGGAGGAACATACGGTGAATCCGCTGTCTCACTGGCTCCTCGTGTGGTCCGAACGGGGCGGCCGTGTCCCGCTCACGTAACAGTGCTTCTTTGGAGTGCGGTTTTTCGGCGGCACTAGCCAGTTCTGCAGAAGATGAGAAGAGCAGAGTGGGCGGGACGAGCTCCACCACCCGACCCCAGCACTCACAGGGCGGGTGCTCAGACGGCAGGCCAGTGGCACAACTGGGACCCTGCCTTCCGTGAAAACTGCCCACATCACCGATTACTGCTGTCATCGAGAAGGTAAATGTGAAGTCCCGTTAACTTGTTATTCCAATTTTTCCTGTCATCTAAGAAGTATTATTCTGGCTACACTGAGAATCAAGTTATTGTATTTCAGATAATCTGGACATACAGCTTCCAGGTATTTCATTTGGGGAAGTTAATTCTGACGTCTGTAAAACTGGTGCTATGAATACGTGTCATTTTGACACTTATGTATACAGTAGAAATGACCAAAGACCACCAACCTTTCTTTTTGAGGGCTAAAATTAAATTATAATTTATCTGTTGAAAACATATCTTACCACCAAATAGTAAAACATCCAGACTGTATTTTGCCCACTTTATTTGCAATAAGAGAAGGAACACCTGATTATAAATTTTTTGGCATTCCAAACTTATAACGATGTCCACAGGCCATGGAACCTATGAGAACAAAAACAAAAATTTAGAACAGAAAGTAGCCCATGACTCGCATATTCTCATTTTAACAGAAAACAGCGTTCTTAGGCAGAATGGCACCACACACCTTGTAGCTCAGCGTCAGGCCATCTAACACGTGAACGGGGGCTTTCTTCTTAGCTGTGTCAACATTTTCAAAAGATATAGCTAGACTAGACAAAGAAATCTCAGTTTTAGTTTGTGAAAACAGAATGCTCACATAAAAATGCTCTTTAAAAAAAAAACTATCATTTTAACATTTACTTTATTTACATCACATTCCAAATAAGACACTGCATTTCATAAGAGGAATGTAAATATGCCAATAAAGGCACACTTTCCGGCATGTGTTCCAGGACAGGAATTTGGATTTAAAATAAGGAAGAGGAGAAAAGTTTTCAAATAATGGGTTTGGCTATAAAAGAGGACAGATAGTTAACAACTGTAGTCAGCTAATCAGGAAAAAAGATGAAATAAGGGAAGAAGGTAAAATTATAATAGACTGGGTGCTTAATTCTGGTAAAATTCAGGCAACAGGCTCAGCAGGGGACCGATGCTGGTTTGAATGGGCCTCTCAGTACAAGTGACTAATAGCACGCGGAGGTGCCCCTGTCCCCTGCACTAGGTGGGCACAGTCCTTGCCTCATTCACTCCTCAGAATAGTCCTGTTGCTGGACTGAGCCCTCACGTCACTGCCCCTGGCTGCAGAGGCACTGCGTGCTGGGGCCTGGGTGCAGAGCAGGAAGGGTCACGTGCAAGGTGGAGGCGGGAGGAGATCAGATGTAAAAGGTAGCCTGTGATTTATGAATTGCCAATTCATCCCATGTCACAGGCACTAATCAGAATTAAGTCTGTTACGGGAGCACCCACTAAGTACTTAACAGGCACCTACAGAGCACCTCATTTGTCAGGTGCCGAGTGAAGCAGATGATGGACAGGTCCCTTCTCCCCCCTCCAGGGCTCACGACACAGAGCAAACAGGTGGAATTACTGCGCCTCCTCCTCGCCCCCGTCACTGAGGAGACGCAGGGCGCTGCCCCAAGCCAGGACACGCAGAGCATGGGAGCAGACCACAGCCAGGCCATGCGAATGGGAGAGCATGTCCATGGAGGGTGTGGGACACCCTTGGCGGGGGAGGGGAGGATGTCCCACATCCTGAAATGTCTACCATGGCAGGAGAACACGGCGAGTCTATATGTTTACGTGCACAAGAACCACAAGACGCACAGTCAGAGGCTCTCCTCACAGAGGCTCAGCCACGCTCCAAGAGGTGGCCTGCAAGGGGCCAGTGGAAGGAAAAGCTGAGATAGAGCAGTCAGAGCCTCAGAGAGGAGCCTATGAGCAGCACCGAGCAGTCAGGGAGGACATAATCCAGGGGCAGAGCTGGCCAGCCAGGGACACGTGGGCACCAGGACGGAGGACGCGGTCCGGGTGAGCCCCAGAGTGCCTTTGGGCACCAGGTGAACGGTGCTGCCCGACTAGGAAAAACCGAGACGCGAAAATATGAGCTTAGATTTGGACATCGGAGCACAGTCACAAGGTGCTGGCTGTGCAGATACGTGAGGCTGAAGGTAGATTTCCACATCGAGAGGGATCACTGAAGCCATCGAGCTGGGGTGGAAGTGCCCCAGCCATGAGTGCCAAGCGGGGAGCAAGAAGCTACACGCCAAGGGCGGAAGGAGGGATACGGGTGGCGGGGAGGCCGTGAAAGAGCAGCAGGGCGAGGGTGGGGTGTGAGGTGGGGCGCGAAGCGGGGAGCCGTGCTGACATCACGGATGCTAGAACCAGGAGACTCCTGGCTGGGACTCAGGAAGCCTGAGGGCGCAGACAGGAACCTAGAGCTCATGCCCGCCACAGCAGAAAGGGTCCCTGGTGTGGCTCATCTGTCCTGAGTAACCTACAAAGAGTGACTGCAATCTCAGTAAAAATGCCATCACGGTTTGGTTTTGGCGAAGTAAGCAAGAACAGCCAGGAAAACTCTACTAAAACAAAATGCGACTGGCCCATGAATCAACAGAACAACGACATGGAACGAAAAATCTGGAAAGAGACTCAAATGTCTATGACCCAAGTGCCTATGAAAATTTAAGAATGAAGGGGTAGCTCAAAAAAAAAGGAAAAGATACACTTCTTTTCTCAAGAAACAGGGAAAACAAAAAATGGCGTAGATGATAGAGGCTCTATTCCTTCCTCAGGCGACCAAATCAAAGCTGTGACGGAAACAAGGAGCAGCAGCAAGGAAAAACCGCCTGGGATCTAGAGGAACAAGCCCTACAACTAGGGAGAAGTCCAAGAAAACACCCTGCAACGGCAGAAGAAACGTAAAATGGTGCAGCTGCTGTGGAATGCAGTATGGCAGTTTCCAAAAAGTTAAGCATAGAATTACCTCATAATTCCACTTCTAAGTACATATCCAAAAGAATTAAAAGCGGGGACTTTGATATTTGTACACGTGAAGAAAAAAAAAAAAAGAAAAAAAAAGAAAGGATGAGAATCAGTCATTCGGAAAAAGATAAAATTGGATCTTTTTCTCATGTTTTTTAGCTAGATAAATCCCAAATGGGTCAGCATCTTAAAAAAACCCTTTCAAGTATTACAAGAAAAGATGGGTGAACTTACTCGCAACCTGGGAGGGAGTAAATTGTAACTGCGGCTCAGGACCTATAAGATGGTTACCTGCAGGGGAAGGGACAGGCTGGGACAGAAACAGAAGCCAGGTTTCCCTCAAGCACCTTCGCACAAGTGGTTTCCACTCGGGAAACACAGCTGGTTCATCTAATTTAAACCAAAACTGAACCACAGCGGGGAAAGCAATTCCTAAAAGTGGAAAATACACTAAAACACACCTGACCGTTAACAAGTTGGCAGTAAATTCACGTGGACTTATTATTCCAAGTGACCTTGAAACGCAGGACTCTGACGTCTTGCAATACAGGAAGACAGTCACGGGCACATTTTAAACTCTTGTTGTTGTTACTGTTACTTTGACATTATCACTATTTATTATAGAACCAAAGCAATACTGCGTATGTTACTGGGTTAGTATGTCCTCAGAGGAGCAGAGATACAAAGGAAAGCCAGAAAAGTGAAACCACACACTGAAAGAGCCACACGAGCTTATGATTTGTTTTTCTCTTTCTACACATTTCCTAGCTCCATCCACTGCGAGAGCCCGGAGAGGGTGACAACCCAGGACCGATGGACACTCTGGTACCCAGATTGAGGGCTGTCAAAGCTGCCAGACAGCCGGGAAGCCGGGGCTGCTACTGATGGGAGAAGCACGGCGGCCTGGGGCAGGGAGCGTACAGGCCAGGCCTGGACGTCTGTCTTAACAGCAGGGTGCTCTCTGGGGTCCGTGAGGTCAACAGGGTCAAGTGGAGGGGTTCCCTCTGGGTCAACATGGGACAGTCTGAGCAACAGAAAAAGAATAACTGTGACAGACTGAAACAGATTAAAAACAGAATCCATGCACTTCCACTGATCTTGAAAAACCACCTTTCCTGGCCCTCTCTGGGGATTGCTGGGCACTCGTTTCTCATTATGAAAAGAACCTAGCAATTATGCTGCTCTTACTAATCACATAATTAATGAAAACTCTGATTTTATGGAAGAAAAAGAGGTAATTTAAAAATGAATAAAAATAAGAGGAGTTATTTTTATCCACCATTAGCAGCAGAGGGTCAGCAGTAGATGGTCACAACCCACATGGCCGTGAGGAAAGTAACGCCTTCACATGGATTAACCGCCATCATCACTTTTGAAAGTCCGCTCAGGGAAATGAGAAAAGCAGCCGAGAGGACATGGAGCAGGAAGATGGGCCAGTAAGCAGGCTGGCAGCTGAGTCTGCTCTGCAAAGACTCAGTGCCACCGACCCCCAGGTGACAGGGATGAAGGGCTGGCTACAACACGGCTGGGGACAAAATGACACAACAGTTCGAAAACATGCAACTTTGCCCACCAAGTGGAGGAATCTGTCCCCCACTCCCGAGCTTGGGATGGCCTGGGACGGCCTGGCCAACAGCGGCACGTGGGGGCAGTGAGGGTCTGCAGACCGGAGGGCTGCTCTGGCTGCCTCAGAGCAGCACCTGAGGCCACACACAGGGGGTGCACGGCGGCCGCAGGGCGAGACCCCAGAGCAGAGGGCAGTCCCGTGAGGGAGCCGCATGGTGCCATCGCATCGTCTCCCGGAGCTCAGAGGGCAGGTCACTAGCTACCCGCTGCCTCCACTGTCCAGTGTGTGCAACGCGTGAGCAGAATTCAAGTTGGCGTGAAGGTGAAATCGGTCACATATGTAAAACTTCAGAGAAAAGTTGATGGCGCATGGACAGTTTCACAGTATTTAAAATAAAAGGTGCCTCCCATATTTTACCGTGAACTGTCTTCAGGATAACGTTGTCCTACTGCTTCTTGAAGCTGCACATTAAGAAAAGACACATTTTGCCAGGTTTCCTTTTCTCTTATTTTATCAAAAATTGATGTGTAGAAGTCATACATGGTATCTCCACCTTCCATTAAAAAAAAATTTCTCATGGCCTGCAAGTACTCAACCAACCTAAATGGAGAGAAAAGAAGCCATCTAAGACAGAATTCTATCGATACCAGGTTTTATCTCTTACCATTTTTAGTGAAACAGGTTTACATTCTACATCTACTAAAATCAGAAATACTAACACCTCTTAAATACTGTGTTAATAATAAAAGTAGTGTATGTTTTACTTTAATCATCAGAAAAAAGTTGTTTCTGCAAAACGCAGAAAAGCAGTCACAAAAGTGTAACAAAGACAGCTAATCCAAATCCTACCATTCTTAGTGAATTTCCACTGTTAATATTTTGGAGTATTTCTTTACAATCTTTTTTTCTTCCGCATTCAAAAAAATATATATTTCTCACCAAATTATGTATCTTGCCTTTTAAGCTTTAAGAACATTTTACGTTATTTAAGTCTGTATAAACATATTTGTATGAACTTTATGCAGTTCACACACAATACAGACGAACCATCTTTATGGAGACGCCATAATTTAAAGAACTAGTCATCCATCACTAAGTAACTTCGTGTTTTTCCCTCTGATAACAAATTTTGTGATGGGCACTTATGTGCTACAAGCTTTTCCTGTTTTACTTCTGCAGTAAGTCTCAGAAACACACAAAGAATTAAATTTCACAATATAATGGAGAAAACATTAATGGTCGATTCTCTCAAAATAAAATTGTTTACTGCACATGTATTTCCTACTCTAATAAAAATTAACTTGAAATACAGGTTTTAAAATAATTTCAAGGACGTGTGGTTCCATAGGGTAGCGGTTAGCACGTCTGCTTTACACGCAGAACATCCTGAGTTTGCACCCGAGTGGAGCCACGGTCCATGGTCTACAGCCATGCCACCCTGAACAAGTCCGATGTCTGATCTCAGAAGCTAAGCACGGTAGGTCCTGGTTAGTACTTGGATGGGAGACTACCTAGGAAGCCCAGGTGCTGTAGGCATAAATAATAAAAAAGAATAATAAAAAATAAAATAATTTCAATTATTCTTAAAGTACAATAAACCACAACTACTTCCAAAATCACATTCCCTCATACCTATAGTCTCTTTTCAGCGTCTGCATGAGGTTTCCACAGCAGTCTCGATACTGCTTGTCAATATGAGGGTAGAGGCAAGATCTCAGCGTGAGTTCAAAAGTCTGGCACGTCACAGATTCAGATGACCTATCCATACACACATCTCCACCAGCAAATTTCGCGTGAAAGTCACTCTGTTCCAAGTACAACCTGTAACACAAAAATATCGGGCTTCTTTTTAGGAATCGCGCTCAACGGAATTCTCTTAAAACTCCAGAGAACCCCTCAAACCTTCAGTCTTGAAATCACCAACTATGACAGAATGAGAGAACCTCTCTTCTCAAATATACTTTGAGTAGACCCGTCACTCAGAGTCACTTCTGCATCCAGAATCAAGTGCTTTACATCTGTCTGGTCATCAGGGCCACTGTCAGTGAATGACGGGATCCGAAAACAGAGCACCGTGTGGGTACTAAGCACCTAAAAGCATCGAAGGGCCAAGACGCATTTTCTGCAGAGGGAGGGTCTGACTTGGCGTGTGTCTGATGCCTGCCCGTGACCAGACTCCGGAGCATCTCCGGTATGACTGACAGCCCTCCTCGGGGGCCTAGGGTGCATGATAAACTGTGGACTTTCACAAGCAACAAGGGGGAATACAAAGCTTCTGTGTTCACCTGAAATAAGTGAACACAGAAGCTTCAGGTATTCTCCTCCTGAGGAACAGACTACTGAGTTTCTTATTTGAAGGCTGGAAAGCCCTATGTGGCAGAGACAAACAGTTACTAAATATTGCAGATTCTGCCATTTTGAGCATCAAAGTCTTGCACTGTGCTTCACCTTGCAAAGTTGACTGCCAGCAGCGGGTCGTGCACATCGTCCAGCTCGCGGTGCCTTTCAGCGATGGACTGCATCCTCACCAGGCTCTCTCTGGCCGCCTGCTTCTCAGTGAGGGCCTGTGCCATGGCATCTTCTCCGTGCCGAAGACGTGACTGGACAGACTCCAGAAAAAGGGTATATAAGCTTTTTCTCTCTGCATCTGAAACAAAGAAGTCAGCTGAACTGTGCTCCAGTAAATAGCGTTAAGTGACATTAAGAAATATTATGCAATCTGATCTAACCATGGCCTGGTATTTTTCCTTGGGCCTATAAGAGTCTATCCATGTTTTCATTACCTGTATAGTGCAGTACGACTAAGCATTTTCACATCCGCTGTTAGCCATCTGCAAAGTTCACAGTTAAGCATTCAAAACACAAGCTAATTTTTCCTGAACAGAATGATATCGCAAGCAGGATGCGTGAAAGCTCAGTTACCGTGACGCTGGAGAGCACTACGATAACGCTAACAGAGGTCAGAGGTCATTGGAAAAACTCCCATCGGTGGCCCCGGAAAGCTCAAAACATTTTATTGTTCGGCCGAAAAGGAGATACTCCAAAGTGAAAATATTACTTGAAATACATACGATAATACAAATCAATCAACGTAACATTAAGGTGATTCAGAAACAAAACAACTAAGGGTCACAGAAGTGACACCAGGATTTTCTCGAAACCCATGATCAAGCGTGAACTGCTCACCAATGAAGCCCTATCTGCCAGGGTCATGGTCCTCGAGCGCTAAATGCTGCACGGCAGAAACGTCGGAGAATCGTTAACTAAAGGACCAGCCCTGAGGCAGTAAGAGCAAGGACTCACCGGGGGACTTCCCTGAGTGACAGGAGAGGCGCCCCAGTGCTGTGGGCCGTGCACGAGGGAGGGACCCACCTCTGGCCGTGGCCGGGCATGTGGCGCTCTCGGCCACCCGCAGGTTCCTCAGCAGCTGCATGGACTTGCCAGCCATGATGATCTGCTTCAGGACGGGCTTGAGGAAGGACACCATGGTGTGCTGCCTGCTGGGGGGCCCCTGGTCACTGCCAGAACTTGCACTAGCATTATCGCTCATTTTTTCTTCATTTTCTGTCTTTTCCGATACACTGTATAGCGTGTAAGTTGCATACCAAAAGTCTCTGTGATTTACTGGAACGTTTTTGTTTCTACAGGGATTCAGAAGAATTTTAAACTTTAACTTCTCCTCCTGAAACACAACGGTATACCTGCTCTAGCCTAGGTATGTTTTCCAGACACTCCTAACCACAGTAACACTAACGAATGGAAAAATGAAGGCATGTCTACGCAAAAGAGGAGACATTTTATCTGACGTTAGTTTAACGTGGAAACGTGGATAAATACTCTGAATGGTATAGGCAAATTTAAGGAAGTAGAAAGTTTCCTGAATTGAAATTAAACAAAATTGGACCGATTTGTTCTTCTTTGGAGGTAAAATAAAAGTCTGCCCATTTGCCATTTCCCGTGAAAGTAACCCCAGACTTCCACACCTTTTTCCCACATATTCTTAACCGGATGCTTTTAACAACGAAAAGACAGTCACTCATCACCCTCTAAGAACAGTCAGAACCCCATTTTTACAAAAATTCCCATGTGAGAGATGAAACAGGACATAATGGATTCAGTTAAAGAAAGGCCGGCTCGCCTACGTCCACGCCTTTCCCGGGCTCTGGGGACTTAATGTGACCTTTCCTGCGAGAGAAACGGCCAGACGGCTGTCAGCAAACACCACACATCCAAACGGGGCACGGTGACAGTGCCCACGGTTCTCTCCCCCAGTTTCTGTGATTCTGTTTAGGAAAATCGATTGACTAAAGGAGTAAAAAAAAAAAGAGTAGCCACTTCGGAAAAATATTGTCACATTTTTATAGTTTTATCTTGCTGATGATTTATAATAGGAATCACTGAAACCTTCTGTTGCCACCTAAATTCATTTTAATGGGTCGCAGTGTGCCTCGTACCACACCTACCAGCCCTCCATACACACGCTATCACTCGGAAATATAACTTGCTAAGAAAAGCTGTGAGCTGATACAAAACTTGGGAAAAGGTGTCTCTTGGCTGCCACCCAACGTGCTCTATAAAACGCAGCAGAACCTGCCGGTAGGGACAACACAGCTCGTCAGCGAACTGCTCCCCGCAGCAGCCCCGTCTGGAGCTCGCGGAAGCGCACGCCTTCAATGTGAGGGCCGCCCTCACCTCTGGATGATGAACTCCCTGGCGCCGTCGCACAGGCGCCCGTGTGCTATCCACTCGTCCACCGTCTGTAGATAGGGCCGCACCGTCTCCACCCAGAGAGAGAACAGCAGGGAGACCTGTGCGGAGCGAGCACAGTCCGCACTCAGATCTGCGTCTCTGCATAAAACGATCTCTAAACGCTTCCGAAATGCCTTTTACGAAGAAATCGGATGTCTATGTTTTTTGAAACCAAGGAAGAAGTTAAAAATCCAAAACATATGCTATAAAACCCTTATGAAAACTCGCAGAAACGTGAGGTGCCCATACCATCGGCAGTCCATGCCAGTGCCCTCTGGCATGGAGAGTCACCCAAGGACACGTTCTAAACTGGACAGTGCGGACTGGGACACGGTTACCCCAGCGGAACAGTGCAGCCACTGAGATTCGATTTCCTTCTGTTATGCTCCTCAGTAGGGAAACACTGGCATAGCTGAGAAAAATCAACCTCCTTTGCACTGACCTGCAGTACCACAATGGCGAGAAAGCAAAGGGAGCCCGACAAACTAGGAAACATACTGAAAATAAGTACCCAAAGGAACCTGCAGCTTTCCCGATCGGTCTCCAGTTAGATTTGTGTTTAATTGCGGTTAAAAAAAAAGGAAAGAAAAAGGAAACATAAAATATACTATCAACAATTTTTAGGTATACAGTTCATAGTGTTGTCTATCCACACTGTGGTAAAAACGGACCCCCAGGACCTTTTCAGGCTCAAAACTACGACTGTGAACCCATTAAGCATCTTCCCTCTTCTCCTCTCCCCCCGTTCCCCCTGGTGCCATCATTCTGCTTTGTTTCTATGAATCTAACTACTCTAGATGCCTCATATATTAGATTTGCGTTTTTATTCAAGAGAGTTACTGCAAATGCCTACAGAAGTCAGCTAGGTATTTTTCACATCTTGCTTTTAAGTTTTTGTGAACTTGAACATTATAATTTAGAAGCTAATGTAAAAACCCCACGCCATGATTTAAGTGCCGTTTTGACAAAGAGCTAAGACAGATGACCCACCACTCTTCTGGCTGGGCAGAATGGAGTCAGGCATTTTAGACAAGGGTCCCACATACGGTTTGCTCAGAGGCTTCTCCAACGCTGTCATATTCAAGGATGGCCTTGTACAGTGTGTTAAGTAGGTGAGATGCCCGAACGACATTCCGAGTGTCAGGTGGGACTTCTGCTACTCCAGTACTAAACACTTTGTGCAGAACCTTGAGCTGAGCCAGTCGAGGTGACAACTTCTCCACTACTATTGCAAGAGTTATCGTAGTGTCTGCAAATGTAAGAAATCAAACTCATTAGCATGGAAAAATGTCTGCATTCCAATGTGACATAAATGCCCAGCCACACGGAAAGGCATAGCAAACTGGAGGACGATGTGTTTAATCTCATATCACAGGAGATCAGTTTCCTTAAAGAAAAGAAAGGACAATTCAGCTGCAAAATAATGTGCAAAGAAACTGATGGTTCATGGAAAAGAAAATACAAGGGATTCTTAAACGTCCAGACACTTGACCTCATTTGTAATAAAAGAATGCAAATTAAAACTACACTGGGCAAATAAAAAACAGACGACAAGATACTGTTTTAGGGAGGGGAGGGTGAGAGGGTGGCTGACTTCAAAGCAGCGGCAAGATCAAGTACCCTTGCTGGTGGCACAGCTCTGCCCCTCAACGTGGAGGCGGTTACACGAATCTCCACGTGCGATGAAACGTCACACAACTATATGCAAAGGTTATCACTCCCTCCCCACAAAAAAGCAAGCACGTGCAAAACTGGTGAAACCCATGTCAGGAATGCAGGTCAATGAACGTATTATCCCAAAGCCAATTTCCTAGTTTTGATAACATACTATAATTACGAGAGATGCCACCACTGGGGGAAGCTGGGTGACAGGAACACAGGACCACGCTGCACTATTTTCTGAAGTAGTTGTAGGTATACGTTAAGGAGGAAGACGTATACACTGGGTCACCATTTTACACCTATCACATCTATTGGTGAAGGTCAAAAAGTCTGATACCATACTGTTGGCAAGAGCGCGAGGGAACAGGTATTCACGTACGCTGCTAGCGAGAGTGTCAAGTGACCGATCTGCACCTCCGTGGAGCACAGTGTGGTGAAACCCATCATAATTACACAGGCCATCGCATCCTGTGACCTAGCACTTCCACTCTTAAGAATTCACGCTACAGACAACGTGGTGCACGTGTACGATCACTTACCCATAAGCAGCTATCTCTGCGGCACTGCCGGAAACAAAGGTCAGAAACGACCTAAATGTCCATCGAAAGGGGATTGGTCTACAATACATCCATACAACAGAACACTCAATTTGTAAAAAAGAATGAGGAGGCTCTCTATATGCTGGTCAGATGATAAACCTCAACATTTAAGTTAAAAAACAACTTGAAGAGGGCAGCCAGCAGACTCCCAGGTGTGCGCACAGGAAACAGGAAATGGACGGCTTGGCGGCCTGTGGGGAGGGTGCTGAGCGCTCGCCTGCACAGCCAGAGCACAAGGAGACATTTTCACCATTCGTCTTTCAGCACCGTTTGGATTTTGAGAGAGATGAATGGCTGAAAATATACATTTTGAAATGAATGTATTCATGAGAATTACTTACTTGCCAGGTGATTTCCAAACCTGACATCGATTAATAACTTAAATGGCATTCGAAATGCGAGTTATGCATCTTAACAGTAAAAGCAAAGGAGAGATGTAAGTACCGTTATTGATGATACACTTCTCGATTTCTGTAAGTTCCTCTTTGAAACTAATGAAGTACTTGTACAGGGCCCACATGAAAGCCTGGTAGGTTCTAAAGGGAGCTTCAGGCAGCTTCTGAAGGCCGGAGCTGTGCCCAGGTAGCGTGCTGGCAGAGCTGTGCCCCATGACTTCATCGATGAACTCCTGGAGCCGATACACGACCTGGCCATACGCTGCCACCTGCTCCAGCACCGACCGTAGACAGCTCTACGGCAGAAGCAAAGTGCAAGTATTGACACTCAGTCTTCTATCAGCATTCGTATCCCCTCCACTGTAAAATATTTCTTTCCTGACTGTTTTGAACAGTGTACTTAGAAAACAAAGAAATAAAACCAATACTTTGTTTTAGATTCAAAGAGTAGTGTGAGCATTAATTTCTACAGAAAAACGAATTGTGGTTTATACTTTTTAAAAACATGTATCATGTAAATGCCCTATAGGCAAAAAAAAATTACAGTATGCAACTTTCCCATTATAGAATGACGGGGGGGGGGGAAGCAGAAAGCACACATCAAAACTAGGTATGAACATCGTAAGCAATACTAAAGAATTCTCTAAGCACTGGACAGGTGCACAACTTAACTTTGCCCTCTGGATCTTATATACATTTAGTCGTTTTAATACTGCAAAAGTTCTAAAATCATATAACTGCTGTTTACATAAACCCTGTTATTCAATTCTAATTATAATAAATACAAATAACTTACATGTGTCAAGTGAGTTACTGTAATGTTGTTTCTCACAGTTACCTTCCCATCTACCAACTGAAATATAAATAGCTTTTTTACCCCAGAAAGCAACCTGAAATGAGATAAAAGAGACGAACGTGTTTTAAGTTCAGGAAAATACTGACTACAATCACGACTAAGAAATGTTAGTGAAAGACTCAGACTTGTGGGGGTGGGGGAGGCAAGGAGATCAGAAAATTGGATCAGATGATCTTTTCACCTGAACCTTAAGACCCACAATGTTTCAGGATCATCTAACAGAGACGCTAACACACCCAAGCGGCCCCACAGACCTTCCCGTTCTCAACGCTAAGACCACCAACGTCCCACTTCCCGGCAGCGGACCCGGACCGGAGAGCTCTGTGTGGCAGCGCGACACCCTGCGTTTCTCATTTTCTTCTTTGTGGAAAGGAACACATCTAATTTCTTAGAGTCCTGCTTTCTGAGTATGGGCACAGGCGAACGTTCACTGAAACACTCTGCCTACTAAAAGCAGGAAGCGGCAAACTAGGAACCTCATTACAGACGCAGATGTCATAAAAGGGATGGTTTAATCTAATTAAACCATATGTTGCTATTCAAAACGGAAAACAAGAAAGTATATCGAAATCTCCCAGTCTCCACAGCTGAATCTGAGGTCTGGGCTTCCTGGTCCCAGTCCAAGTGCAGGTAATTCCCATTCACTTTTATTTTTCGTGCTTTGATATATACTTTTTTACTGACTTTTGTCTTTTCTCTCTCCTGACACTAGAATGCAGCCTTCATAAAGAGAGAAACGTCTGTCTTGTTTCTACCTTCGACCTTGGTGTCCAGCATAATGCCCGCCAGGCAGTGGGTGCTCAATAAATAAGTGTTCAACAAATACATGAACGAACACATGCAGCCCATACATTTGTCTGCAGACACTTGTCCAGTTCCAACTTGGCTTCTGCTAAGCATTCTCTGAGGTGGGGATCAGCCTGCAGGATGTTTACGAGGGGTGCACCTGGGATCGATCCCTTCCAGCTGCTGTCAATTCACGCTGGCCAAGTCTTGCTGCTCCTTGGGGTTGTGGACCATTTCCTCTTGGATCAGACCCTATTTGTTCCCAGCTAGATTATTCAGTAACTTAAAACTAGGTGGAGATTTAGTGTCCTATAGTGAAAGTGGGGTGGCTCCTGAGTAGTGGGAACTGCCCAGGGTTCACACCTAACAGCCGCTTCTAGTTCGCATGTGAAAAACCCCTGAACACGTTTCTTTAAAAAAAATCCCACATTCTGCTTCTCACTAATTAAGTCTTCTAGACTTTTAATTGGGTTAATAGGTCTTACCATAGGGTTTCCCGAATAACCTGCGTCTCAGTGACAGAAACTCTGTCGTCTGGAACGTATAACGGGTCGCTGCTGTACAAGTGTTGGTCCCTATCAGATAAGCAAACATCAAATGACAATGAAAAGCTATTCTCAGTAAAATTACCTATCTCCAAGAATACGTGCAATTTACTGGCAATTTGACCAGTAATCAATAAGCAAACAAACTTTATACAGGATTTAAATGCCTTCCCATTCACCCTCACAAATCAACTGAAATACTCTAGAACAGCGGTCCCCAACCTTTTGGGCACCAGGCATCTATGAGAATCTAACGCCTGATGATCTGAGATGGAGCTGAGGCGGTGATGCCAGTGCTGGGGAGCGGCTGCAGGTACCGCCGAAGCTTTGCTCACTCACCTCCTGCTGTTCAGCCTAGTTCCTAACAGGCCACGGACAGGTACCAGCCCAGGGTTGGGGGGCAGTTGGGGGGAGGCTGCTCTAGGAGAAGCACTTTCAGAGCGATTCTAATTGCTATGTTAATTGCTGCTTCAGTCAAAAGCTGAAACTATGTTTTTGTCAAAATAGTAACTATTTTTTGCAATAAGTTCACTGAAATGTCAGTCTGCTACCTAGCAGCTCGTGTGCCAGAGCCCAGGACACTGTCATCAAGCTCGCACCTGCAGAACTCGCTGACAGCGAGTGTCTCATTCTCATCCAGCTCCCACGACCCAACAGCACTCAATTCAGAAGCTACTAGGATACCTCTGTCCCCCACCCAAATGAGGTCAGTCACTCTGGCTCCATCTGGACTCCAGCAGAACAGAAGCCTTCACTGGGATCAGCACAAGGGTCATCGCAAAGCAAGAGGGAGCCATCCCAGCAGCGGCCACTCAGGCTGGCAGCCTTGAGCAGGAGGGCCCATCCGTCCCGCACTGCGCAGCCTCCGACTGACACTCCGCACAAGCTGGTGCCCTGGGGGCGGTCCGCTCAGGGCCGCAGATGGGGAGAGGCGGGGCCTCCTTCTGCATCTCCACAGTTCCAATTCCGGCCTGGACCCAGACTGGACGCCTGCCAGAGACTCAAGCTCCAGCAGTGCCGGCCAAAGTTCCTCCCATTAATAAATACATTAAATGAGAAATTTAGCTTCTTACCAGACAGCAGCTAAGTTGGAGTGCAAATGTAAACTATGAGGAAAGCTCGAGGACCGGGCTGTCCAGTACTGACGGACCACGTGCTGTTCCAGCCAGCTTCGGACGTCAGGCTCATCTACCGGAGGAAAGGTAAAAAGTTTCAGTTGTAAGAGCTGAGCAAAAAACACGTATCGACTTTGCCACAACATCTGAACTTATGACTCCATCAGAATCTTCAATAGGAAAAGGCTCTTTAAAATAACAGCTACCTGACAACAGTTACATGCAATCATTTATTTAAAACCATGTACAGAGAGACATATGTACAAAACTTAATTAGATGTCACTGGATAGAAAGTAAAAATAACGTTACTCAATTTTAAAATAACCCCACGAATAAAAAGACACCAACAGGGTATGTGGATAATTCGACAAGCACGAAGGAACCTGAAGTGGTTGTCAAAGCCTCTCCGGGACCAGCACTAAACTTTGAAGGATGAGATTTCTTGTACAGGTTGTTCCAGAAAACAAAAAAAGTGAAAGCTGCCTAACATTTTGGGAGACTAATATAACCTTGCAACTAAAACCAGATAAAGACGTAGTAGGAAAAGTAATTCATTGAAAAATAAAGATGAAAAAATCCTAAGTTAAAAACAGGCAAGACGACAGAGCAGGTGAACGCAGTGTGCGCCCCCGCCGTGACCACACCAAAATCACAACCAAGCTACGGAACAGCTGCCTTTGGGAACCACCTTAAGCCTAGCTGAACAGAATTCTTATAACTGAGGACATAAAGTAGTAGCCACGTAGACACTGGTAGGAGGGCATTTAAATGGCCCGGCCCCACACCCGCGTGTGGCTGTTAACAATCTGGAAGGTGGTGTCAGCTGCGGAGGCCCCCCGAGGAGTGAGGGGTCCCGGCCCCACACCAGGCTCTCCAGCCCAGAACATCAGAGATGGGAAGAGGGGTCCTCTCAATATCTGTGAAATTCAGCAGGGATTCCATCCAGGTGACACGAGGGAAGACAAGAGTCCCAGGAGTCCACTTAAAGCGCCTTAGCACAGACTCACTCGCTTCTGAACACTTGCTCTAAGCTCCAGGGAAGGAACAGCAGCTTGAAAAGCTCCAGGGACACACCGGGGTTGGGGCGGAGGGGGGGAGGGGAACTAAATTGGCTGGCTTCGAGGTGAACGCTGGAGGAGCAGCTTTCTCTCAGACAGAAGTGCTGGCAGAAGCCATTGTCCCTTTGCTGAGCCCTCCCCCACCTAGTTTGTACGTGCAAGTGGGTGCCACATCGGAGTCTCCATCAAGCTGCCTGATACTTTTCGCCCTGCTCTGGTGATTCCCTGAGACCCGACCCCACCCAACGTGAAGGCCTAAGCCGCTTCCAGTGACTTTTCCATACGAACAGCCTGTCTGCAGACTTTCCTAAAATCTCACAAGGTTCACAAACCCCTAATAAGCAGCATCTGGCCTTTGCAGGGCCCACACCTCTTGATGAACTGCCCCGAGCCTGGCACTAGTGGCAGCCAGCCTCATTCTGCAGCTTAGCCTCTCCCAGGCACCTCCAAGCCCAGGACAAGTGGCAACCATATGCAGATCACTATAGCTCACACCAAGTGGTTCTGGGCAGGGCACAGGCAGCAACTGACCTCGGCCCCTCCCAAGAGGCCTCAGAACCAACACACCCGGCAGCCAGCTTCAGACCACACCAGAGCACCACCCAACCACCTCCACAAATGACACCCCCAAAGGGCAGACTGGGGCCAGAGCCCAGCTGTAGCGAATCCTGCTTGGTAGGGTCAGCCCTGCACAACAGCTCACGGTCATGGCCAGTCCTCATGACCATCAGCCCGAGGGTCAGCCCCTCCCACTGACGTGCCAAGGCTCAACTACGGCAGGAGGGCACACAAGGGACACACCTGGAGCGCCGGCTCAAGTGACCAGGGAGACTGCACCACTGGTCTGTGTAGGACTCCTACGACGTGAGGCCACTCTGCACGACTGGACATAGAGCAGCTCTACCTAATGCACAGAAACAAACACGTGGAGGCAGCCAAAAAGGGGAGAAACGTGTCACAAATGAAAGAACAGGAGAAAACTCCAGAAAAAGAGCTAAATGAAATGGAGGCAAGCAATCTACCCGATGCAGCGTCCAAAACACTGGTTATAAGGGTGCTCAATGAACTTAGGGGAAGAGTAGATGATCTCAGTGAGAACTTAACATGAAAAGTTGGAAACCATACAAAAGAACCAGTCAGAAATGAAGAATACGATGGCTGCAAAGAAGACTCCATTACAGGAAATCAACAGCAGATTAGATGAAGCAGAGGATCGGCGCAGCGATTTTGAAGATAAGGTAACAAAAAAAAAAAACATTCGATCAGAACAGCAAAAAGGAAAAAGAATCCAAAAAAATGACAGTTTAAGGGAGCTCTGGGACAACATCAGGTGTTAGCAACGTTCGCATCCAAATTGGAAGTCCTAGCCACAGCAATCAGAAGAAATAAAAGGCATCCAAATTGGAAAGGAAAAAAACTGTCATTATTTGCAAATGATATGATACGATATAGAGAAAACCCTAAAGACTCCACTAAAAACTATCGGAACTGATAAATGAATTCGGTAAAGTAGCACAATACGAAATTAATGTTCAGAAATGGGTTGCATTTTTATACACCAATAACAAACAATCAGAAAGAGAAATTAAGAAAACAATTCCATTTATAATTGCATCACACAGATAGATAGATCAATGGAACAGAATCCAGAGCCAAGAAATAAATCCACGCTCTACGGTCATTTAATCTATGACAAAGGAAGCAAGAATACACAATGGGGTAAAGACAGTCTCTTCAATAAATGGTGCTTGGAAAACTGGACAATTACATGCAAAAAATGACACTAGATCGCTTTTTATACCATATACAAGAATAAACTCAAAATGAATTAAAGACGTAAATGTAAGATCCAAAACCATAAAACTCCTACAAGAAAACATAGGCAGTAAACTCTCTAACACTGCTCTTCGTAATATTTTTTTGGATATATCTCCTCGGGCAAGGGGAACAAAAAATAAGCAAATGGGACTACAGCCAACTAAAAAGTGTTTGCACAGCAAAGAAAACCATCCACAGAAGAAAAAGACAACCTACTGAATGAGAGAAGATACAACTGCCTACGATACAACTGATAAGGGATTAACAGCTAAAACTTACAGAGAACTCACACAACTCAACAACAGAAAAACAAACAATCCAATTTAAAAATGGGCAGAGAACCTGAATAGGCATTTCTCCAAAGAGGAAATACAGATGGCCAACTGACATATGAAAAGATGCTCAACGTCACTCGTCATCAGGGAAATGCAAATTAAAACCACAATGAGACATCACCTCGCACCTGTCAGAATGGCCACCATCAATAAACCAACAAACAAGTGTTGGCGAGGATGCGGAGGACGGGAGCCTCGTGCACTGCTGGTGGAACTTGGTGCAGCCACTGTGGAAAAGAGTCTGGAGGTTCCTCAGAAAAATTAAAAATATAGCCATCATACGACCCAGCAATTACACTTCTGGTTATTTATCCAAATATATCCAAAACGCTAACTTAAAAAGATCTATGCACCCCTATGCTCACTGCAGCAGTACTGACAACAGCCAAGATATGGAAGCAACCTAAGCGCCGATCGACAGGTGATTAAATTAAAAAGTCAGGATACACGTGTGCAATGTGATGTTAATGGGTCATGAAAAGGAATGGAATCTGACCATTTCTGACACCATGGATGGACCTAGAGGGTGTTATACTAAGTGAAATAAGTCAGACAAATATTGTATGATTTCACTCACATGAGGAATAAACAAAATAAACGAACAAAAACAGAAACAAATGCACAGCAAATAAATACTTAAGATCTTTACAAAGAAAGTTCCCAAACTCTAGTAAGACATACAAAAATTAGAAGAAATGTAGATATTTTCATAGTTTGGCTAAATCTATAAATCCAATAAAAATTCCAGCTGGATTTTTAAGGAACTCGCCGTAGTGCTTCTAAATGTCTATGGTAGAATAAAAGTCCACAAAAAGGTAAGCCAGTCTGGAAAAAGAGTAAAGGAGGTGAGGGGGAAACTGGCCCTCTCCTTGTTGAGACATATTACAAAGCCGTATGAATAAACACAGTCGTTCCTCGGCAACTCACCCTAAGGAAGAGCGCCGAATATTCAGAAATAAATATTCAGAATGCCATAATAACAGAACCGCAAGGCAATGTGGAAAGAATGGACTATTCGCTAGATGCTCATGAGCTGGACCCTTGAACTTCACTTCATATGTAAGATGGACCCAGAGGTCACAAAAGCTCTAAACCCAAAATATAAATGAGCAAACCGAAGGAAAATACAGGGGAATGTTTCCGCAGAGAGAAATATCGAGACTCAAATACTACCCACACTGTGAAAAATCCACAAATTTGAAGAGACTACAATATCTTTTAAAAGGACACATTCTGTTTTAAGGGTACCACACAACATGTAAAGTCAGGTGAGTGACTAAGAAAAGATCACCGCAACATCTAAACCCTAGGAATCTATCTGGACATACAAAGAACCCTGAAGAGTGAGGTGGACGCGAAGGACAAAAAAACTCAGAAGAAAAGCCAGCAGAGGGCGTCAGTAGGCACTTCCCAACAGGGGCAGGGCTGAGAGCCAGGGGGACCACATGCACTTATCACTAGCGGTCAGACGGATGCGAATGCCAGCAGCCGTGCCCCTGAATCAGAGGAGGACCAGGTCCCTAAGGCACGTGGCGACAGGCAGAGGGTACAGGCGGCTCAAGGCCTGTCCGCAGCATGGAGAGGACAGAAATGTGGTGTTGCGAATGGCAGTCTCCGCAGCAGTTAGCAGTGACGGAAGAGGCGTTCAGAGTGACATGGGCAGAGTGCCACCCAGAGGAGCAGAGCCAAGCTCACGGACAGCACCGTCCCAGCACGCAGTGTACACGCAGAGCGACCGACAGGGTGCACTGTACAAGAACTTCGCATACGTGAGAACACCAACATCCGCGCCGTCAGGCACGTGGGCCTACGCTGGGCCGACAGAGGAAGGACAATGGAGTGAGAATCAAAGAGTGGGGCAGATGTGCTAAACGAGACCACAGGCCCTGCAGGACCCAGTGATGACGTGCTCTGAGCTGATAATCCACGTTCTGTCCTAAAGTTCCCAGTCAAGAATTAGAAAGGAAGGAATGAAGAAAACCAGAAAATCATTAGGATGCTAAAATCAGCTTTAACTACTTTGTGGCCATTTGGCAAGGTTCAAGTACAGTGTGCAGGGCCTGGTCACAGACCCAGCTCCGGGGGCTAGTGCCACAGCTCTGTGACCAGCAGGAAACCCATGGTAATCGGGCCTTTGTTTTCTGTCTACAAAATGAGAAGCGGGTTAGACAGCTAATCTCTCAGGCTGCTTCCAGCCCTTTCTAGATTCTTCCAAGTCATACTTCTTCAGTAAAAACTGAAAAAGCAGACAGGCAAATTTAAAATTAAATCGTATACATCTTTTCCTTTTAGTTCCCAATTTTAGCAAAGTTAATCCTTCTCCAATAAGAAAGTAAACTAAAACATTTAGGATTAGCAAAGTTCTCAGAACAAAACTGCCCTCAAAATCCCTTTTTGACATGAATTCTGTAGCGCTACTTTTTAGGTACTGCAGATGTAACACGAGCTTAGCAATATCTTAACAGACATGGACCTGCCTTTCCTTCCAGGGGATTCTTCCGTTAGAAAGGGTGCCAGCACCGGACAACACACAGTACCTCTCCAGAGGACACGAGGCCCTGGTTTTCTGCTTTGATCCTGTTCTTCTAACGGCGTCCTATCCACCTGAATCCCAGAGTCCTCTCTGCTTAAGGGCTGTGGGTCATCTTCACCTTCACTTTCTTCAGACCAATTCTGATTAAAAAAGGAAGCGTATAGGGCGTATAACATTTGAAGCTATTTGTATTAAAAGACGAGGACAATTTCAGAAGAAAGGCAGAAACTATACCAAACAAAACTTTTTCTAACTGTCTTGAGAGTTGCTACAGAATGAAATTATTTTGGGTGGCAAAAATCCCAAGATTCACAGTTCCTTAACGGGTACATTAAGGGTACTCATTCCGTTCAACTTCCCAGTACTAATGACTTGCTGCAGAATCTTAATAAATCTTTCATGACAAAGTACTCGAATTTACTGAAGAGTTTTATTACTCTTTTATTTAAGATGCTGCAGGGCAGAAGGACCCAAAAAAGCCATCTATATAACTTGGCACATGCTTATATTTTCAGTAGCAAAACTACTGCCACTTACTGACCGGTGTGTCTACATTCGGACTAAGGTCGACTTCTTCACCTTCCATCAAGTATTTTCCCCAGTCAAAATCATCTTTCTTTTCTAAAATGTAACAAAAGAATCTTATCAGCTTTATCAAAAATAAGTGGGAAAAAACTCAAAACTATAGGAAAAAAAGTCTAACAAAACTCAAAATAAAATGCACTTAGGAAATGAAAGTTCAAAAACACTGAAACAGTCAATAATTTGATAGTCTAATACATTTTAAACTGTAATTTTTTTCATCTTCAAAAGTTAATTTCTTTATGTAATTCAAAGTTTAATTTACAAAGTTAGAATTTCTGTTTTAAATGAAAATCTGCAATTGTAATTGCATCCGATGCAGCAGAAATATTTGTTTCACACATTTTTACGTTTCATAAAATCAACGTCTAGTAACTAAGCGATACAAGTAATTTCTATTTATTTGCTATATATTAAAGCATCTGATAACGTACCCACTTCTTTATCTCTTGGTGTTTCCACATAATTGCTGTTTGATGGAGAATCAGACAGACACAGAAGAAGTGACAGTATTGAATAATGTGCATCTGTCTTTAAAACAAAAAATGAAGAGTATGAATCACTGAGGTCGGTAAGAGCTTTTTAAGGTAGTTTGAATAAAGAAAAGATAATCCCATGACAGTTATGTCCCCAAGTTTTTCCTAGTTCGAGAAAACATGAATTATACCTAAATAAACCCTAATCTCTAGGAATATGGTTTCACTGTGTTCGGGGAGGGCCACTGCTAGAGGCATACAGAGAAATGATCAAAGATGACAATGAAAAGGTCAAAGTAGGAATGAGAAGGGACAGTTTCCTTTAACTATTCTGCACAACACAGGTATTTTCACGGGTGTAGATTAAGCTGAGGTCACGGCATCTGCCTGACCAAACCGAGTGCAGTACCAGAATCTACGGAACGCAGTCGCCACAGACTAACAGTGCCTGCCATGCACTAGCTGCTCTAAAATGGTTCGCTATTATTTTTAACATTAATATTATTGTCACAGGATCTACTTATTAAATTTTACAGTTTGCGCAGAAAGCTACACAACATTTATCACAAAGAGATCTAAGAAAATTTGTCTCCTTCTCTCTAAGTGGTCTCTGTAGGAACCATGCACGGAAGTGCACTTCCAACCCTTGCAGAGGGGTTCGGAGCACTGCAGCTCTCTCTTTTCAAGAAAGACTTTTATGGCCCTTCCTTAAATTATCTGAAGCTCTCTTCCTTAGGACACCAATTCCCAGAACGCAGACCAAGGGAAAGCCTGTCGATAATAGAATACGCCGTAAGAGGTCGCCCTGAAGATTAAATGAGTTAACATACGTGTGCAAGAAAGGCTTAACTCTGGAGGCCTACGCTGCCCAAACTGTGAATATCTCCAAGGTCTTCAGGACTGGCCCTTGCCTGGCTCCTGAGAGAGAACCCGAACCCTTGGACTACCCTGAGAAGAGGGTTTCTGCATGCTGGAGGCTTTGGTCCATGAACCAGGCAGTTTATGCTAACGATGCGACTTGTGATGAACGCTTTTCATTCGCCTGCGGTTCTCAGTTTGACCGCAGTTTGGGAAGCCATGACTAAATATGAAAGTGCTTAGAACAGCACCCAGCATCTAGTAAGCACTATTTAGGTCGTTCTTATTACCAGGTGCGGAGAGCCATTTAAAAGATTTAAGATACCCAGGCAGTGCCATTGTTTGTGCCAATCTCTGATCTCAATTTCACAGGCTGGGGCTCAGAAGATGATTAAACAAGAGTTTGCGGTCTCTTTCATCTCAAGTCTGAGGCACACTGGGTTTCACGGCAATACTTCAGTCAGTTTCCAGGGGATTCTGCTCTAGATCGTGAACAATTCTAAAAGAGAACGAGTGTGTAAATATTTTTTGTTGTTGCTCAACAAAATTTTTTATTAAAATTATTGGGATGCCATCAACAAAACAAAAAGACGACTTACTGACTGGGAGAAGATATTTGCTTATGGAATATCTGACAAGGGGTTAATATCCAAAATATATAAAGAACCCGAACAACTCAACGAGAAAATAAACAATCCAATTAAAAAATGGGCAGAAGACCTGAATAGATATTTCTCCAAAGAGGGCATACAAATGGCCAATAGACATATGAAAAAATAGTCAAGATCACTAGTCATCAGAGAAATGCAAATTAAAACCACAATGAGATATCAGCTCACACGTGCCAGAATGGCATCATTGATAAATCAAAAAACAAGTGCTTGCGAGGATGTGGAGAAAAGGGAACCCTCGTGCACTGCTGGTGGGAACCTGGTGGTGCAGCCACTATGAAAAACAGTCTGCAGGTTCCTCAAAAAATTAAAAATGGATCTACCTTTTGACCTAGCAATTGCACTTCTGGGTATTTATCCAAAGAAAACCGAAACACTAATTCGTAAAGATCTATGCATCCCTAATGCTCATGGCAGCACTACTCACAATAGCCAAGATACGGGAGCAATCTAAGCGCTCATCAACAGACGACGGGACAAAGAAGTTGTGGTTCATGTATACAATGGAACATTACTCAGTCGCTAAAATAAAATGAAATCTACCATTTGCAATGACTTGGACGAACCTAGAGGTTACTATGCTGAGCAAAATAAGTCAGAGAAAAATAAATACCATATGATTTTACTTATTTGTGTAATCTAAGGAACAAAAAGAACAAAAAGAACCCATGAATCAAAAACAGACTCGCAAATACAGAGGACAATCTGGTGACGGCCAGAGGGAAAGGGAGCTGGGGAGCTGGGAGGAAGGGGTGATGCGTTAAAGAAGTATCAATTAGTAGTCGATAAGATGGTCACTGGGATGGGGAGCACAGCACAGAGGAGGGCTGTGTGCAGAGCCAGAGGGAAGATGGAGCAATCGGGGGGATCGTTTCGTAAACTATATAAACGTCTAAGTGACGTAATGTGTACTAGAAGTTAATAATAAAATAAAATGCTAAAAAAATTATTGATGTGACATTGGTTAATAAAATCAAATAGGTTTCAAGCGTACAATTCAATAACATGTCATGTATATTGCGCTGTGTGTTAAATGTTTAAATAGTAACAGAAACAAGATGACAATAATCACTGGAAATGGCAAACTAGACAACAGAGATCTCACAACGTGACGCACACCTTTACTTCCTTTATGCTTGGAAGGGAGGCGTTGAGAAACTCTTCAGTTAATCTCTTCCAACTGGCAGCTTTGCTGAGATCAGAATGAATGATGAATTTTTCGTAAATTCTAAAACATATTTTTAAAATGACAGTTATAAAGCTACAATAATAAAAAGATCTATAAAACAGATATTTCGGAATATGTACATATACACACACATATAAAACCGACTTACCCTTCTATTGTCTTTTCTACTTTGTGGCTGTTGACATCCAAAAAACGGTGAAATCTAAACGACAAGATGTAATTTTGGCACGTAGCTAAGTAGACTGGTATCACTGCCCGCCATATGCCCCCAAACACCCTCTACTCAGCTATACTCAGGAATGCGCCTCTCTCCCAGGATCACCTCCACCATGTAGGCAAAGCAACCACTGAACCTCAAAGAG